TACCAGCAGAGCTTTTCTTTAACTGACATTCTTCGTTACATGCTATGCTGCATGTATGTACATAGGTCTCTGTTATACACTTCTGTGCAATATATTCTCTTTCCTTTGTCAAAAGCGTGTTTATTACATATAATAACCTGATTTCGAAATAGACGTCTGTGACACACACTACAAACGCAATCCGGCCCTTTGGCGACTTCACATTTGAATAGAGCTGTAACATGTTCAATATTTTCATTTTCTGTTTTCATATACACTTTTTGGTTAATACTACCTTCAATCAAGCTCTGCTTATAATCTACATCACATTGGTATTTTTGTACACTCAGCCTCTTTTTAGTCTCTCTGAATTCAACATCTTGCTGATACTTTTCTGTAAACTTTGATTTCTTTGTTTCCCTGAATTCAACATCTTGCTGATACCTTTCTGTGAACTTTGATTTCTTTGTTTCTCTGAATTCAACATCTTGTTGATACTTGTCTGTAAACTTTGATTTTTTTGTTTCTCTGAATTCAGCATCTTGCTGATACTTTTCAGCAGACTGAGCTGCACAACGTGCTTTCTTTTTTTCTCTGAATTCAACATCTTGCTGATACTTGTCTGTAAACTTTGATTTCTTTGTTTCTCTAAATTCAACATCTTGCTGATACTTTTCTGTAAACTTTGATTTCTTTGTTTCTCTGAATTCAGCATTATGCTGATACTTTTCTGTAAACTTTGATTTCTTTGTTTCTCTGAATTCAGCATCTTGCTGATACTTTTCTGTAAACTTTGATTTCTTTGTTTCTCTGAATTCAGCATCTTGCTGATACTTTTCAGCAGACTGCGCAGCACAACATGCTTTCTTTTTTCTCTGAACTTAGCATTTTCATGGTATTTGTCATAACTCTGCCTTTTCTTTCTTTCTCTAAATTCTGAATCTACAAGATATAGTTCTTGCTGGCTAACATAACTTGGCTTCTTATCATTTGATTTGGGTGATACACTTTGACTAACGTTTAGATTTTTCCTTTCATGATATCTATCCCGTCTGACTTTCAATTTCTGACGTCTCGAAAGAGATTTACGATTTCTTGCCTTGTTTGATTTGCGTACAACAGGTACATTTTCATCAGTTTCAATACCAACATTTTCTGTATCACAGTTACTATGTGTACAATTGCTTGATTCACCAAGTATCTTTACACACTTCACAACTTCGTAGTGGTTTTCATTGCAGTGCTTTAAGTACAACCCATTAGCATTATTAACAGAGCTTTTACTAGTTTGAGTAAATCGTCTCCACCTATCAACATTGAATGTATAAATATCAGTTGCCAGCATATCAGCTGCGACAAAAATTTCAACCTCTGTGCCCCATACACCGGGCAATTGTAATATTTGATCGTGTTACATAATCATTAACTGATTGGTATTCTGGTCTAATAATATTGAGAGAAAAGCTGG